TTCTTAAACTGGACCGGAGGGCTGGAACAAAAGCATGGATGGAGTGTTTGTGTGAACTAATATAAATTCAAAGTAAACATCTACACTAATAAAAGAGAAAAATGGTAATTGGCGTATGACGCTACCCTTTTCATTGGCTAATCAGGGCTATATGCAAATTAACTGCCAACTAAGATTGGCAGTTAACTGCCAACAAGATGGCGGTTAATTTGCATATGTAGGCACAATGCAGGGAGGCGAAAGGGAAAGCAGGAAGAAGCCCCCTGCCACTGACAGTGATTGGAAACCCAGGGGGGAGCTAAGAGCTGGGGGGCAGGGCAAAGGCGGCCATGATTGGAGAATCAGGTGCCTTTTCCGCCCTGGCCAGTGATAGCAGGAAGTAGAGGTGGAGCCAGCGATGGGAGCTGGGCACGGTCGAAGCTGGCAGTCCCAGGAGCTAGGGGTCCCTTGCCTGGGCCTAAAGCGAAGCTCACGATCGCGGGGCCACTGCAGCTGCGGGTCCCTGCTGCCCGGGCCAGACGCCTAGGCCAGAGGCGTTAGGCCTAGGCAGGGGCAGAGCCTGCAACCGCAGGGAGCTGGGGGTCCCCTTCCCAGGCCTGACACCTCTGCCAGAGGCCTCAGGCCTGGGCGGGGGCCAGAGCCAGCAATCGGGGGGAGATAGGGGTCCCCTGTCCAAGCCTGACACCTCTGGCAGAGGCGTCAGGCCTGGGCAAGGGGCCGATCCTACGATTGAAGGGTGATGGGGGTCAACGCCTGAGGGCTCGTAGTATGTGAGAGGGGGCAGGCTGGGCTGAGGGACACTCCCCCCCACACACACACCCGGTGCACGAAATTCGTGCACTAGTCATTACATAAAAGGGTACGGTCTTTTTTTTCAATAGTTTTATTCATTTCAAACGGGCCGGATCCAGCCCACGGGCCGTAGTTTGCCCACGGCTGCTTTAAACTAATAGGTTTACCTCAATACTTTTTATCTTTCTTTTTTCTTGAGAGACAGGGGGAGGAGGGGTCAGAGAGAAATCAATTTTCTGTTCACTCATCCATGCACTCATTGGTTGATTTCTGCATGTACCCAGACCATGGACCAAAGCTACCACCCTGTCACATCAGAACGATGCTCCAACAAACTGAGCCAGGGCTCAGTCTTTCCTCTTTCCACTGGTTCTATACTGAACCCTCTTCTTGAATAATACATTTTACATCCAATGTAAAGAACAGAAAAATTCCCAGTGTTAATGCATTACCACTCACAGAGCTACCACTATCAAATTTTGATCCTTTATTTTCTTTAGAATTTATAGTTGCTGATTGTTACTGATGAAGAAACAGATGTCAGCAAACTATTGTGAGTTGTGGTCCTTATGGATGTTGACATCTGGGATGTGTTTTGTGAAACACTTGTTACTTTGGGTATAGACTTTAAAGCGGTGGTAGTCGTATTTGTGAGCCTGGTGATGTCATTTTAGATGTTGCTATGGGTTTCAAGGTGGTGATTGTCAGTGGGGAAGCTGGAGTTGTAGATGCTGTTCACAGTGCTGCTGATTCTGTGTAGGGCTGAAAGGCGCAGTTGGTTATTTCCTGTTGGTTTAGAAGTGAAGTTTTCGGGAAGTGCCAAGTCTTTCTACTTGAAAATCGCACAGGTTTCCCTGTCCTAGATCACCTAGCAACAGCAGCACACACGCACACCCACACACAATAAACACAGCCCAGCCACCTCGGCTCCAAGTCCCATTGTTCTGGGCGCAGGACGCCACAATCTCATAGGTACCCAACCAAGGTGGTGATGGCATTAACCAGAGCCGCCCTTCTGCGCATCTGACCTCCTGCCCTCCAATGACCAAATAGGGTAGGGTGATGGAGCCCAGCCCAGGAGGTGGGATTTATGTCCCTCCTTGAGTAAAATATCGTTCTTATCATGAGCAATTTAAAAATGTGACTGTTTGCAGACACTACAAATCTGACATACTAGAACATGTACTGGACTAAACAATTATTATTCACAATCACTTCATAATATTGTCTTTAGCTGGTTTTCCTCTTTATATATTCCACATGGTTGTGTCCCATTTACATTAAACCATTAATTAGACATAAAGAGTGTAAATCAAATTTGCTTAAACCCAAACCAATCCAACCCATCTTATCCCTGAATATTTGAGTTACACTGTATTTTAGATTACAAAAACTCATTTTAATGAAGAAAAATTACAAGTGAGGATGAGCATCTAAATGACTAGAACAGAGTAGGGGAGGGTTATTATTGTCAACCCTACTGGGCAGCTAGTAGGGAAAATGTTAGTGCAAAATACCGGCTGGTTTATTGTTAACTGAATACATATCTGGAAAGTTTAGACAAGTATCCCTAGATCTGGATACACAGAAAGGTTAAGGGGAATAATAGGCAAAACTTGAGGAACCTTAAAAATTAAAGTATTGAGAGGAGAACCAAGATGGCAGCATAGGTTAACACCGGAGATTGCTGCTTCGAACAACCAATTCAAATTACGCCTGAAACACGGAACGGACACCATCTAGAACCACAGGAGGGCTGGCTGAGTGGAAATTCTACAACTAGGAGTAAAGAGAATATCATACCCAGACTCAGAGGAGACGCAGTGCTGAAGTGAAATTCTCAGGTGCATGTGTACGCGGAGCGGGCTGGCGGCGCGGAGGGCGCGGTTGCTGTTTACAATCGGGAGGGAGCTTCAGACTCTGAGCCCCAGATCCAGGCGAGTGGCTAGAAACTCAGACTCAAACGGGAGAAGCGGGACTGTCTGG